CGAGTTGAGTGAGCCAGTCAGCAGTCTCGTGTGCAGTGGTTAGTGCTAGTCGCGTCCGCAAATCGTGCGGGTGACAAAAGTACCTACTCGAAGCATAAAGTTACCTGTATTTTTCCAACCAGCTGCAAATCCTACAGGTATTTTTGTCATCAATTTAAGAATTGTAATTATTTTGTGTTGGTGGCTTTATTGTTATAAAATGAGGATGTTTTTAGCAAAGGCCAGCTTAGGAGTACCCTAATTAAGTTAATAACAGTGTACCTACCTATATAGTTTAAGTTTAAAAAATTTGGCTCTCAAAAGAAATTCTAATCGTTGTACTGTTGATATTTGGCTCTGTTGACTAATAAGTTTGCCGACCACTGATCTAGTAAATAGATTTTTTTTTTTTTTTTTTTTAGTATAGTGGGTTTTTTTTGTTTGTTTTGTGTGTGTGTGTGTGTGTGTGTGTGTGTTTGGTAGTGTAGTTTAGTTCTCCTTTAGGCGGAAAAGTGCTGTTCAGTTTATTCTAGCTCCCACCCAGACTGCAATACAATAGGTATTTGAGTTTTCTACCTCTCATTTACAGAATTCGTTATATTAAAATAGCCACAGGGATAGGAGAACACAAAGGTATTTTAGGTTGTGGTGTCAAAGCCTAAAGCCAGGAATAAATAGGTGTAGTGAGGTGAATAAGATAATAAAGGAATCTTGTGGCTGATTTTACAGGGCTATTTTGAAAAGTAGGACAAAATGGGATTGGTGAATTGGTCAAAGTTTGGTTGTGTATTATGTAATTTATTGAAAGACAGGGAAAATTGGGATATGATAAGCTAGATTAAAGCCATGTGCATCTACTTCATTCCTTGATAGCAAGACTATTATCTTATTCAACTTTACAGGTCCAATCCTTTTTCCCATGGTGGTGAGCCCATAAAAAACAACACTTAATAATTAAATGACTGTTGACTTATTTTAGGTTAGTTGGGTTTGCAGAAATGTATAGTGGATTAAATGGGATAAATTTGAGATAGTCTGGCTGTGAACTAGAAATGAAATGAAAACCTAGTTTTAGGCTTATTGTTGTGTAAATGGTGAGAATAAGGCTTGAAAGTCAGAACCAATACTTGCTGGTTAGCTAAAGAAGACTATAAAAAGGAGGATAAAGAGTCAAAGATAACGCCATGGTTTCTGGTATGAGAGATTAGAAGAGCCACAGAAATGGGATATTTTGGAAAAGGGGGCTAATTTGGAGGAGAGAGGAGAAAGAATTCTTTTTCTAAAATGGCATAGTTAAGGATAGTCATTGAACAAAAATTTATTGAACACCTACTGGGAAAACAGAGCTAGGGAGGTGGGAGTGAAAATAGAGCAGGAAACCTGCAGTTTTAAATAGAGTGGTCAGAGAGGACCTCACTAAGCTGGTGATATTGGAGCACATATTTGAAGGAGGTGAGTGAATGAACCATGTAGAATCTGAAGGAAGAATATTCCAGGTAGAGAAGCTGACTAGTGCTAAGGACTAAGACTGCAGGTTCTTGTTGAATTTAAGGAACAAGATGCCCTGGTGGCTAGAGGCTAAGAGAGAGAGAATGAGATAATGGAGACAAATGGGAGTGTGCCCGATCATTATGTCTTTTTTGGTCAGAGTGAGAAGTTCAGTTTTTCTTCTAAGTGAGATGGGAAGCCATTGGAAGCTTTTGAAGAAAGTGGCATGCCCTGACTTAACATACTATATAATAAAGAGGTAATATGCAAATTAGCCCTCACGAAATGGCTCCATACGACTAGGCTGGCAGGGGGGTTAGTGAGGGACGACCAAACGACTGAACAAGCAGCTGCGTGGGGGCGACCAGGCCGGCAGAGGGGGGGGGTAGTTTGGGGGGCAACCAGACTGGCAGAGGGGGGGGCAGTAAGGGGGTGACCAGGCCTACAGGGGGGGCGGCAGTTAGGAGTGACCAGGCCAGCAGGGAGGGGGACAGTAGGGGGCAACCTGGCCAGCAGCGGGGCACAGTAAGGGGCGACCAGGCAGGCAGGTAGGTGAGCGATTAGAAGCCAGAGGTCCAGGATTGTGAGAGGGACGTCCAATTCCCTGGAATCGGGCCTAAACCGGCAGTTGGACATTCCCCAAGGGGCCCCGGATTGGAGAGGGTGCACACGGGGCTGAGGGGACCCCACCCACCCACCCCCGCACGAATTTCGGGCCTCTAGTCTATATCATAAAAGGCCTGTGGTCATCACACCATAACGCCATTATGACCAAACAAGCAGCAGCCTGCGGTGGGTGGGATGTGAGCTACTAGCAGTGGGGAGCTACGATCAGTGGAGGGCGGGGCGTGAGCTGCTAGTGGCCGAGAGCTATAGCAGCGGAGAGCTAATAGCAGCAGAGAGCTAGGAACGGCTGAGGGCAGTGCGAGATGAGTGGGGTGGCCAGCTGAGGCAAGTGGAAGCGAATCATGCGCGCTGGGCCTCTAGTATTGAGATAATCACAGTGGCTGCTGTGTTGAGAATAGACTGTGGAGCAAGGGTAGAAGCAGGAAAACCAGTTAGAAGGTTTTTCAGTAATTTCGATGAGGTAGTGGCTTAGAACAGAGAGGTGGCAAGAGATGTTTTAGAGTAGTGTCAGATTCAGGATATATTTTGGAAATGGAGCAAAACAAGGTTTGATGACAAGTTAAATGAAGCATATCAGAGATGATTCAAGGATAATTGTAAAATTTTTGGCATTAGTAACTGAGATAGGAAAGACTGAGGGGAGGAAGTTATTAAGGGCAAGAAGATCAGGAGTTTAATTTGGGACATGGTGAGTTTGAAGTGTCTATTAGAAACCCAAGAAGAGATCTTGGGACTGAGCCTTAGGCATTCCAGCTTTAAGAGATCTGAGAGAAAAGGAGAAACCACTAAAGACTGAGAAGGAGCAGCAAGAAGAACCAGGATTGTGGAGTCCTATAAGTGAAATAGAGAAAGGGCTTCAAAATGGAAGGAATAATCAACTCTATAGGACACTGCCAGTAGGTCGAGTAAGATGAGAGTTTGAGGATTGGTAATTGAATTTAGCAATATACAAATTATTAGTGACCTTGATGAGCAGTTTGGGTCAGGTGGTTGGGTGAAAGCTTGGTTGGAATGGGATTATAGAAGATGAGAAAGTGGGATCAAGAATTTTTTTTTAAGATAGCAAAAAAGATGTGAACAGTGGAAAAGAAATGGTGATGATTCAAGAAAAAGCAAAGTATTGCTAGAGAGAGAGCCTTGAGAAAAAGGGTTATGGGATGTGTCCAAGTAACAGGAGGGCAAGCAGTTTGTCTGAGTACAGATGCTGGTATAGATTTGATGGTAGAAATAAAGTTTTTTCTAAATGCTTCCTTGTGAGATTTTCAGTGAAATATTAATCAAGGTCTTCAGCTGAGAATGAGTATGAAAGAAAGTATTAGGGACAGTGGTTCTCAACCTTCCTAATGCCACGACCCTTTAATACAGTTCCTCATGTTGTGGTGAGTCCCAACCATAAAATTATTTTCATTGCTACTTCATAACTGTAATTTTGCTACTGTTATGAATCATAATGTAAATATCTGACATGCAGGATTTAGGCAACCCCTGTGAAAGGGTCGTTCGACCCCCAAAGGGGTCGTGACCCACAGGTTGAGAACCACTGGGCTAGGAGAAAGTTGAGATTATTGCTAAATGAATGAGATGAGACTAAATGAACTTTGGAAATGTGTGCCTGCGAGGTAACATGAAGAGCCCATTGGTTGTTCTTGGGTATGTATTTAAGATGAAATCAGATGTTGTAACTGTGTGTTTTTCTCCTTGGATGCGGGCACAGAGTAGGTGAAAAGTTAGATTTTACCAGGTTTGGGATTTGCCATGTGTATGTGGCATAGAGCAGAGGAGTTGAGAATGGAAAACAGTGATGGTTTTGGTTGATCATGGAATTTAAGATTGGTAAGGAGGGATGCAAGGTCAAGAGGAAGGTGGTAGGATCAACAGATTATAGATCCCAGCAGAGTTAGAGAATTGTTGGGATATGTTAAGAAAGTTAAGCTGGAAAAAATAGGAGGTGGTGGTCATGTGCAGTGCTTGAAATAGATTATGGAGGGATTGCAATTATGAGTAGTTACAAAGTCAGTTTAAGATATCACTATGGGAATGAGTAACTGAGGTAGCATGAAGGACAAGAGTATAGGAGCAGTGTTCAAGGAAATGAGAGACCAAGATACTGGAAGAATGATCTATGGATATGAAAGCACTGATAATTAAGGCAGAGTTATGTTAGAGGGGTGATGACCCATGGGTTAAATTATGCAAGGAATAAGGGCTAGTAGCCTATTGGTCTATAATTGCTTATAAAGAAGAGAGGTAGTGTGGATGATGTAATCATGACATGAGATTCAGTGCTGAAGTAGAATGGAGATGTCCTATAACAACTAGAATAAAAGTTCTTCTATATACTTTATTATCCTATATAATAAAAGGGTAATATACAAATTGACCCTAACGGCAGAACAACCAGAACAACCTCTGGACGAGTCACTATGAGGTGCACTGACCACCTCTTGGTGCCTTTCCCTGGCTGGCAGGCTCTGATCGCCTGATGGCCACCTATGGCAGGGGCGGGGCTGGCAAGTGGGTGGGAACAGCCGACCTCTCAGTCCTTTCCCCCGGTTGTCAGGCACCGATGACCCAATTGCAAATGGAGAACTAGGGGTGGGTTGCGGCAGGGGGGCAGGGCCATCTGTGGGCAGCTGGGGAAGATGTCCCTGAATGCAGGCCTGGCCTAGGGACCGTACCTGCACATGAATTTCATGTGTCAGCCCTCTAGTTCTGAATAAAATAATAATTTCCAGTATTTGATAAAGCTTTCAAGTGAAGATTTGCAAAGGTTAAAAGTTAGTTTCTTTTTGATATATATTAGCTAAATGGGAAAAAGATTAAAGGCCTGATTTATCATATATATCAAGATAATTATAGGTTTTTCATGGGCTGTTATAAAGAATAAATTTTTGGTATCTTAACAGATGGGAAATAAGACCAAGATTGGAAAATGTCCTTTAAGAACAAAACAAACCAGATGCATTCTAAAATCAACACAAAATACTTGTATCAGTAGTGAAAAACTTTTGGAAAAGAAGAAAATTGGTTCAGAAACGTCACTGGTAAAAGGTGAAAAAAATAGTATGGCTAAGGATTTATGCAAGCAGTATGCTGATAAAGACTGTCTTCATATCCGGAAAGAGAGTTCACCTACAACCCCTAAAATACAGAAGACTGGGAACACCTTAAGTACACCTGTAATGGCTAAACAGAAGCCTTGCAAAAATCACATCACAGGCGAAAATATGAAGAGTAGTTTGGTGTGTCTAACACAAGACCAGCTACAACAGATTTTGATAAATGTAAACCACAGAAATAGACCCACGTTCCTGACTGAGAATGGAAAGGAGGAGGAAACAAGTAAGACTTTCTGAAGTTTTAGTACATTTTATTGACATAAAATGTTTTGGAATTTCAGGTTCATTGATTTTTACATAACTGTGCCTCTTAAATTCTATTTTACATGTAACAATTTTTCAAAATGATTGGTCTCTTAAGGTAAATAAATATACAGGATTACTTTTATAATATGCTATATTTTACGGTTAATGCCCAGAATATTATTCTCATGAACCATAGCCTTAAGAAATCCAGTTTTCTGTGAACTCTAGAAAAGATGTTAATACAGAACACTATTGTACTTATTTTAGAATGTAGAAAAACCTTACTTACATTAAAAAGAATTATATAAAATGTTCCAACAAACCATTATAGTACTTCTAGTGAAAATTGAGGGACCCCTACTATGAAGATTTGACTTGCTTGTTGAAAATGTTGATTTTCCTGGCCCCTACATTTTGCTTTTCCTAATTCTCAATCCATGCTAAGGATTGGCAGCACTATCTTTAAAACACAAACTTGAAAGGAGTAGTAGAATATTACATGCCTTCTGTTTCACTAATCATAATTGTACTTAAAAGCCTTCTTGTTTCAGCTTTGAGCTGAAGAATTGTGAATATGAGTAGAAATATCATTAACATTTTGTGAGTCAATAGTGGAAAAAAAAAAAAAATTAACAGTCACCAGGAAGAGTTCCCACAACTGGTTTGGAGACCAGGTAGCTCCTATATACTCCCAAGGTGCTGAGATAGTGTAATCTACCTTCTCTTGGTCTAGATCAGTGGTCAGCAAACTGCGGCTCGCGAGCCACATGCGGCTCTTTGGCCCCTTGAGTGTGGCTCTTCCACAAAATACCAACTTCTGCGCATGGGCCACAAAGTTTCAATCGCACTGTACATGTGCGCCCGCACGTGGCATTTTGTGGAAGAGCCACACTCAAGGGACCAAAGAGCCACATGTGGCTCGCGAGCTGCAGTTTGGCAACCACTGGTCTAGATTATCCTTTGTAAAATGAGAAAGCTAGATTTTGTCTTGTAAGTCTAGAATTCTAGTTCAGAGAACAAAAAAATAAAAACTTAGCAAAGATAGTGAGAGAAAATATCAATAAAGTTAAAAGAATTTTCCTAGTCATATAATGACCTACATATTAGATATGCTTTTTCTTCACTAGGAGAACTAGCATGTTAAGGAACAATGTAGAATAGTTTTTGAACCAAGCATGAGTCCAAAATATTTGGAATAGCTATAGCTGGGGCATAAAGCCAGTGGTCCATGGTAAAGTTTTTCACTGATTTCCCAGCTAAATTAGGAAAAGGTAGTGAGTTTTTCATAGAGCTATTTGCTTTTATTCTCAATAAAGTCAATTGTGTTTTTGTTTATATTATTTTTAAAAGTGATGTTGGCAGGAATAAATGGAGGTTTATTTTTGTTGTTGTTGCTTGTTGTTTGGTACAGGAATTTGTATAGCTGTGGCCATACATCTGGGTCATTAAACCTCTGAGGCTCAGTTTCCTTTTTTGACAAAAAGGGAGTCATAATACCCACTGCAAAGATTGCTGTGAGAAATAATTAGGTGATGTGTAAGGCAATGTTTTTTAAACTGTATAGCAGTATGCTAAAATAAGGTATTGTAATAGATGCAATTATACTGTTAATTTTAAAGCCTGCATTTTATTTCCTAGGTCAGTACAGTCTACATTTAAACAGTATTCCTAATCAGAAAAAGGATGAGAACATTATGGGACTACTCCAAAAAACTGAGGTTGTTTCATGTGTCCAAGATGAAAATAAATCTGTTTTAAATAAAAGTCAGGAGACATCTAAGCAGTCTGAGCATAAAATTGCCATGTATGTAACTCATATCTTGTGAATATGATTTTTGCTTGACTTTCTTATGAAATATTAACTCTGAAGACTAAGAGCTAGTTAAAAGTTATTACTGAATACTATGGAGTATGTTGTGTCGAAATGGATAATAAGGTTTCAGTCATTATTTTGTGTTTTGTCTCAGAGAGAATGTATGGAAACCAGCGGACATATTCAGTACTCTGGGGGAAAGAGAACGTGATAGAAATTTGTTGGAAGCAAAAAAAGCCCAGTGGAGGAAAGAGCTTGGTAAGTAATTATTAACACCTATTATTGTAGTTTGGTTGACTTACAGAATATATATAAAGGATGAAATATATCCTTCAATATGATATTATCAAAAGTCTTGTGTTATAAATTTGCCATTTAGAGGAGTTCTCTGTAAATGTATAAGAAGATTGTGGTTTCACATTCGCTTACATTGTACCTTTTTGTTTGGCACTCTGGTGTGTACCAAAAGCCAGAGGTGAGCATTGATGTCATCAGTATCATTCTAGAGCTCCTGGATCTCAAAGATTCCTAAACTTTTCTCATTTCTTGAAAATCCACTTATCATATTTTTCCATTACAGAAATCCTATGGGTTTAAAGATGGTTTTATTTAAAAATAGAGTTCATTTTTTTAAAATAAAATGTTCTAATGAAGAGTTATCAGTATGATATCAATTAGTGTATTCCACACAAAAATAAGCTTATTGTTTTTTGTCAGACTGTAGAAACTGTATAACAGAAATATTTATAATTTTTGTTAGGGTCTTAAAATATTGATAATAACTAAGAAACTCCCATTGCTTCTTGGACTAGACTTGGAGTCCATAGTTTGGAAAATACATGAAGTAACAGTTGTACTTTTAGAAATAGCTGTACTAAGAGCATGAAGATGGGCTTCACCCTCCTGTGAGGCAGCCATGCTGGTACAGGATAGGTGATGTAGAAAAAGAGATAAGCAGAAGAATTAGGGAATGAATTGATATTGGAAGTGATGGTAACAGAAGAATGAAGAAATTTAATATATGGTAGCAGAATCAGAAGATTTGGAGATCTGATCTGTGTTTATAGCATAATTTCAGCTTTAAATATTTTTAAATAAAATTTAGCTTATCAAAATACAATACAAAACTTCTGAAGTAAGATATGGAGCTACTTGGAAATGACTGAAGTGTTTTATGCTTTAATTATTATCTTTAAAAATACAATTTACTGTTACTTGATACTGTTAGAAAAAGCACATCTTTCTTTCTTAAAGCTTTGCTTTCATTAGTTTTCTTGGAATTTAAATTTATATATCTTTGACATTTTAAGAACTATTGATTTGGGGTCTTGTTTATTTATATTGTTCTGTTAACACAAGATTTTATATTTTTTACTTTTTTCACAGTTATGAATAATGCTGACATTTATTAAATATTTATTTTGTGCCAGGTCCTGTACTGAAATAGGCACTATTATTACTCTCTTTTTACAGAAGAACAAACAGGTTTAGAAAAGTGAACAGTAATTTGTCCATAGACATATTGTGGGGAAATAGTTGAACTTGGATTTGACCCCCAAATTTCTCTGAATCCAGAGTTCTTACTTTTGAGTCTCTTACTAATAATTGACTGAACATTTCAGGAAAGTAGAACCTCAAAATAATTAGCATAATATAAACTATGTTGTCCTGAAAAAATCTCTTTATTGATAATTGTAATAGACATTATTACATCCATTTGTGCCATACTTAAATTTGGTTCTGATTAAATGTTTTATTCCATCTCCTTTTAAAATTTTTCTTTATCTTGTGAGTTAATCTCCTCTGTACAAAACAATTTTAATCTGTGTTAGAATCTGCACTCTTTAAGAAGGTCATGATTTGTTTACGTGATTTTTTTTGCAGTTATTGTACATTTTTTTAAAAAGGACATTATTTCCAGATGAACAGGTTGCTTTAAAGAAGAAAGAAAAAGAAACTCCTGAAAAATGGAATAATACTTGGGAAAAATCTGAAAGTGATAAAATAGTATGGGAAAAACTTCAAATTCTTGACCAGTCTAAGGTAAGAGTATCAAAAGCAAGCATTTATGGAATATAAGACATCTGAATTAATTGAAATTTTGTAATGCTAAGTCATGTTCAGATCATAAGTTTATTTTTAAAGCACATTTATTATTTATATTTACTAAAGATACACTTTGTTGTTTTTTTACTTTGTTTTTATTGTTTGCACTATTACAAATGTTCCCATTTTCCACCCCTTCCCTCTGGCCATCACCACATTGCTTTCTGTGTCCATGAGTTATGCATATTTGTTCTTTGGCTAATTCCTTTATCCCCTTTCATCCAGTCCTGCCTCCCCCTGACATATTTATTTAAAAAAAAAATACATATATATATGTATGTATGTATATATAATTCTATTAACTATTTTTAAAAGCATATTCTTTTTAAAAAACTTATTTTTCAGATGCTATTTGAGAACACTGTTATTTTGAATTTAATTATGATCTCAACTAGTCTCTGTTTGCATTCTGTAAATTATCTTACTATGTTAGTAGTTATCAGCCTTTAGGCACCATCTTTAGGCTCTTATAAAAACTACAATTTTTAGATGTCCACAAAATTCTACCACTGACCATATGGTATCCACTATAAGCTTATCAAATCGAATATAAGTACATACCAGGTGTCCCTCAGGGCTTGCTTTGATGAACTTTAAATTTTTGCCTGTGTTTGATATGAGAGGAAGAAAATGTGCCCTTGTTATTCTATTTGTTTTTAGACTTCTGCTAGTGTTTCCAGCATTCTGTCACAGTCTCCCACACAGGTAATGGTGGTCCAGGCTGATGGTCACTCACCATCTAGAGCTAGTCAGATTTTAGAGGTAAGTCCTAAGTGTCATTACTTTGAATATATATGGTTTTTAGTACTTGATCACTATGTAACCTATTTTCCTTGAAGTAGTGAATTTAAGTATTATTTTTAATTACCAGATAATATTTACTGAGTCCATTGTGCTCTTTAAATTTAAAAAATGTTATAAGCTATTTCTTTTTTACACATATAATCCCTTCTTCCTAGTGGACATTTACATTTTAACAAATGTGTTCTGAAAATAATACAGTAACCTAAAGGTGGTAGACATTTTCATTCAGCACTGTAGGTTTTTTTTAAAGGCCCCTCCAGATTAGATTGTTTGCATGGCTGTTTATTCTGCTCCATATAGGGTTGATTTACCTACATCAGTTTTGTAGTTTGTTGATAATTTTACATTAACAAAAGAATGAAACTTGAATTGTATTTTGCCATGTTTCCAAAAGCACTTTGTTGAAAGGCAGTAAATTAGTATTGATAGACATAATTTGGAAAAACATCTATATTTCTGGGTGATAATTTAAGTGTAAAGTTTAGAAATTAATGCATATAGATACTACTGAAAACTACACTGGAACTATTCATGAAGTTGGTGATAATTGGCTTATTTACTTTTTAAAATTAGGACTGAAGAATCTTTAATGCTAAAAATATTAAGTATTTTCCGTTACCAAAATTTAGGTTGAAATGTTAGAATATTATTTATTTTTGTTGATTTGCACGGTTCTTTAGGTCATTTATTACCTTAAAGTAACCCATACTATTTTTATTAGTGCAAATAAAGAACCATTTGAGGTGACGTTATTTGCAAATAAAGAAATAACTAGCCCTGACCAGTTTGGCTCAGTGGATAGAGCGTCGGCCTGCAGACTGAAGGGTCCCAGGTTCAATTCCAGTCAAGGGCATGTACCTTGGTTGCGGGCACATCCCCAGTAGGGAGTGTGCAGGAAGCAGCTGAATCGATGTTTCTCTCTCAGTGATGTTTCTAACTCTCTATTCCTCTCCTTCTCCCTTCCTCTCTGTAAAAAAAAAAAAATCAATAAAAGAAATACACACACACACACACACACATGCGCGCGCACACATGCTAGAGGCCCGGTGCATGAAATTCGAGGATGAGTAGGGTCCTTAGGCCTGGCCGGCGGGGCGATTGGGGCCCCTGCTTGCACCCCCCTTGGCCTGGTGCCACCCGCTCACCCGCTCCACCATCCCGAAGCGGTCCTGCTTACATTGGGGCCCATCGGGGCCTGCGCTCCACTGCCTCCCACTGCCAGCTCTGGGTCACCGACACCCGCCATGTTCCACGCTGCCCCCTGGTGGTCAGTGCACATCTAACTCCCAGTCAGTCGAATTACTGCCCGTAATTTGCATATTATCCTTTTATTATATAGTATATTTAATAAAAGCATGTGTCCCTTTTTTTATAACCCCAAAACTATAAAGTTATTTATATTTTGGAGTCAGAGTTGGGGGTTGAGAGTGGGAGAAGGACAAGAAAGCAAAACACACGCTAAATCTATGGCTGAATAACCAAAGGTTAAGGAGTACCTACTTATTCTTTTACTATTTAAATGCAGTTTTTATGTATTTATTTATGAATGTGGTAAGATACCTGAAAGATGTTGAGGGAAAATGAATTGTGTTTTAAAAAAGAAAAACACCCTTTCTTAAACCTGCAAGCAGTTGGTTTCAGAAATCCCAGCTATACCAGGACTATTTTATACTATTTGAATATTAAGTTAACCTCTTCATGTAATTGAGAGGCGGAGAAGTTTGGTTGTTGGCAGGATCACCAAGACCCATTTTGTTAGAACAGTGGCTGACATAAAACAAGTGCTTAATGAAGGTGTCAAACAAACTCAAAAAGAGTCTGGAGGCTTTGACTAGAAATAAATGATAAAGATTTATTCAAGGGTCTTAGGCTTTGCAAAACAAAAATACAGCTAGGCAAAAACCCAGAAGTGTTCCGAAGAAGATAGACAAGTTAAGAGTTTTTATAGTAAAAATATATTCTTGAGAATAATAAGTTCTGCATTCTTAGCCCTAGGATTGGTCCAGGACAGTTATCGGTCAGATATTGGGCAGTCTGGATAGTATGGAGGATGGGCGCCAGGAGATCTGATCACATCTGGTGGTCTGGATAGTGGATATCAGGTGGTCTGTATACATGAGTCGTTGAGGGGGTGGAGGTCTGATGTATATCCAGGCATTGATGTAGGACTGGAAAGTTCAAACGTTTTAAGTTCTCAGGCTAGATAAAACCTACTTGATTTTAGTAATTTAGCAGCTTGACTATAGTGACTTCATTATATTGCTTCACTGTATTCCTCAGAGGTTTGCTGTAGTTGTAGTGTACAAAACTGGTCTATTTGGAACTCTGAGGCTGTTGAGGGTCAATTCCCTTAACAGGTTTCTTTCCTCTCTCTTCTATTCTCAATCTCCTACCTTAATTGAATAGCCCTGTATTTTCATCCTTGTATTGTTCAGCCCAAAACATTCTTTTACACTGTGTAGCTTAAAACTCCTTTTGTGTTTCTTAGACATTTAATTACAGCCTCAGCCTTTTTGAGAATGCCTTACCTTCATAAAACTTGGCTTTTCCCTAATAACTACCACTCCCTGAGAAATCTTTTAAGTACAGGGAGTATATCCTAATGTACTCTCTAACAGGGGGTAGAATGTGAGGCTGTTATGCTACCAACTTCTTATTGCTACTACCAAACCATAGTTCTTCAGTTGGCCAACAACAAATTCCATCTAGATGTTTCCTTTTTATTTTTACCTTTTTTATTGTGTAAAATGTATATAACATTTTTATCATTTTAAAATTCAGTGGCGCCCTGACCGGTTTGGCTCAGTGGATAGAGTGTTGGCCTGCAGACTTAAGGGTCCCAGGTTCGGTTCCGGTCAAGGGCATGTACCTTGGTTGCGGGCACATCCCCGGTGGGGAGTGTGCAGGAGGCAGCTGATCAATGTTTCTCTCTTATCGATGTTTCTGACTCTATCCCTCTCCCTTCTTCTCTGTAAAAAAATTAATAAAATATTAAAAATAAATAAATAAAATAAAATTCAGTGGCACTAACTACATTTACATTGTCACGCAACCATCACCACTGTCCATTTTCTGAATTCTTTCATCATCCCAAATTGAAACTACTCATTAAACAATAATTCCCCATTTCTCTCTAGCAAATCACCATTCTACTTTCTGTCTCTATGAATTTGACTATTCTAGGTACCTTTAAGTGTAATCACACAATATTTGTTCTTTGTGTCTGACATATTTCACTTAGCATAATGTTTTTAGGGTTTGTTTAAGCTGTAGCATGTATCAGAATTTCATTTATTTTTTAAGGCTGAATAATATTCCATTGTATGTGTAATACTAAATTTTGTTTATACATCCAAATGTTGGTGGATATTTGAGTTGTTAGCACCTTTAGGCTGGTAATAGGAATGATGCAGCTGTATACATTGCTGTACAAATAATCCCTGAGTCTCTGCTTTCAGTTCTTTTGGGTATATACCTATAGTGGAATTGCTAGACCATCTGGTAATTTCATGTTTAATTTTTATGTTAAATTTTTACCTATTCGGTGGTTTTATATTTCTTGGCTGTAAAAAAGAAGGAAACCTTACCCTTTGCGACAGCATGGATGGACTTGGAGAGCATTATGCTAAGTGAAATAAGCCAGTCATAGAAAGACAAGTACCATATGATTTCACTCATCTGTGGAATCTAATAAACAAAATAAACTTACATACAAAATAGAAACAAACTCATAGAGAACAGACTGACAGCTGTCAGGGGGAGGTGTTGCCGGGCTGGGTGAAAATGGTGAAGGGAATAAGCAAAAAGAGAAACAAGCTTATAGACACAGACAACGCTATGGTGATTATCAGAGGGAAATGGGGGCCAGGAAAGAGGGGATTAATGGTGATGGAAGGAGACTTGACTTGGGGTGGTGAGCACACAATACAATATATATATATATGATGTATTATGGAAATGTACAACTGAAACCTGTATAATTTTGTTAACCAGTGCCACCCCAATACATTTAATAAAAAAAAAAAATTAAAAAAAAATGTAAGTTAAAAAAAAGAAAACAGTTGTGAATGAAGCTCTTAATCATAGGTAAGGCAAATTGAAGAAGCATTTGTAAGAAATCTGAAATTTTATACCTTGGTGTAGAGTTTATTGTTATCTATACAATGTGCTAAAACTAAAAGGAGAAAATACTTTTAAAAAAAATTTTAAATAATTTGTACTGACTTATAGAGAGAGGAAGGGAGAGGGAGAAAGAGAAACATTGATGTGAGAGTGGAACATCAATCACTGCCTTCTGCACACCCCAGTCATGGGGATCAAGCCCATAACCCAGGCATGTGCCCTGATTAGGAATCAAACCAGCAACCTTTTGGTGCATGGGATGACATCCAACCAACTAAACCATACCAGCCAAGGCAAAAATATATATATTTTTATTGATTTCAGAGAGGAAAGGAGAGGGAGAGAAACATCAGTAATGAGAGAGAATCATTGATCGGCTCCCTCCTGCAGGCCTCCCACTGGGGATTGAGCCAGGACCAGGAATTTGAACCCTTACCCTCCTTGTTCATAGGTATTGGTCAACCACCGAGCAACGCCAGCCAGGTAGAAAAATATATTCTTAATAACTAAGAAAAGTCTAGTTAATATCAACATTGATGAGTTGGTAAAAGATGGCAAGATCAGAGGATGTGAGAGCATACTAAAGTTCTTGTGTTATTAGAAGAAGACATTTATAGACCTCAAATTAAAGAGAGGCTTAAAAATAAAGTGGGAGAAACTGAAATGTAAAATTAAGATAAAAGAAATAGGACCATCAATAATTATAATAAATCTAAGTGAACTAACACTCACAAGTCAACATATACTGACAGGTTGGAATAAAGAAACCTAGAGATTTTCTAGAATACAAGACATACCCAATGCATAAGAACACAGCAAGGTGGAAAATAATAGGA